ATTTCAAACTCAATGGTATTTTGGAAGTCTACAAGTCCATGTTGAATGATGCATAATAGATCATGATTAAGAAAGTAGCATAAGATAATGGTGTATTGGATAGAGCATCCAAACTGGATAGATTATTTTATTTTCTGAAAAATCTGAACTGATTCTAGCATTTAATCACTGTGTCCATCACAACTAGGTTCCACAACAAAAGCTTGTATAAATCAAAGTATCAAATTAACATACAGAATTTCATTTGTCTGTACAACACAGATTCAAATATGATTGCCCTAAATTAACATCAAGTTTGTGTGTATGCACATGTTGAAATACACTTTGGCACTTGCCAGACTACTGTTACCCTAGAACTGCATTCAAATTAACAAAAGGCTTTTTTGATTCAAGAAACTGTAGTAGTGGAGAGAGATTATTTTTTAAAAATTGTTCAGAGTCACTTTCCGTGCTCTGGACTATGGTTTCCCTGTTAAAGCCTTCTATTTTGTCATAGATTTAGAATGGGGGAAATTCTAATTACTTTTGCAATATCCATTACCCTTATTTTAGGAAAAGGTATGCAGAAGTCCAGAGAATTCCTCAGAATTTAAAACTGCAAGATTAAGAGGAGCAAAACTGTTTACAATGCTGTTCCCACAATAAAGCTGCCTGTTTAAGCCATTTCCTGGCTCTGTAATTCACTACTTCCTCCAAACTTTCCTTCTCTTTCACTTCACAGGCGTTATTTCTGCTGGAACTTTATTTTTCAGAAGGGCACTCCCAAAATTTCCAAGCCAAGAGGCATCCCTACATTCTCACTGCACAGTGAGAAACTCTCCTCTCCAAACTTGAGAGGCCTGACCCTCCTACTGCACTGCAAATAAGGTTTGCATGAGCTCCTTCTTACAAGGACAGCATTTTTCAATATAGGGACATCTGAAATTGTTTTTTTGACATGTTTTTCTTTTAGGAGCAGGTTCATGCTACTAATCTGCTCTGCCTTACTTTCTGTGACTCAAATTGTGGCTTAGATTGTACAGAGCCACTTTGGGCTTTTGCTGCCTTCTTCCCTACTGGATATTCTGAGCCTCCTGGTCAAGGTTTATCCTCCCTTGCTTATAAGTTGCAGTGGGTCTTGAGTATTTTGGAGAGGAATACTCCCTGCTGATGCATCTGTAAGTGCTCTAGTTGTTCCCTGCGAAGCTTATCCTCTCACCCCCATCTTAAAGAAAAGCACATGAAGTTAGAGTACTCAAATTCCATTCCCACACTTGTGCAGAAGCAGAGACCATGTCTGCCAAGACTGAGGTCAAACGTTATTCCTGTGAACTACTTCAAACAGAGCTAACAGAAACACTGAACCTTTCTTTGAAAGGCATGTGAGGATATTAGTGGCTAGTGTTTTACCCTTCAAAATTAAAGAACTTTCTCTGTCTGAAGAGAGAGTCAGCAGTTCAAATTAAATTAAAATTATATAGAAGGACCAAGCTTTCAACTCCTGTGTACAAATAGTCTCTCTGATTATAACATTTAAAATCATAGGATAAACTGCTCATGCTATTAAGGTTGCTATGCACTTTCCTACTATGAGGCATTCCCCCAGCCCTGTGTAAAAGTAGTAGTGGCTATCATGTTAGTATTAGCCATCATTTTAACCTTTACTATTTATTTGCCTCAGATCAGTTCTTTGGAAGCCAAAAAAGTTTAGATTTTTTTCCTCCATTTAAATTTCTGCAGTCCTTTTCCAAAAGGGAATTCCTTTAGATTCAAAAAAAAAAAAAAAAAAAGTAATATTTTTGGCACTTTCATAGGTCAAAAAGCTCCTATCTTTGAAACAGGGCCAAGTTGGGTCAAGTATTAGGTCTTCGATACTTTACTCTTGCTCAGTCTCTATATTTTTTCAGAGAAAATAGCTTCTATTGCTCCCTGCTTTAACAAAAGTCAGATACCTCTGCATAGCACTGTACCATGTAGCATAAGCACACTTTTAAATGTTCCTCCTTACTGATAGCTTGATGCTTTGAGATCAGAATATTCAGAGCTACTGCTACAGTCAGTGCAAGCTGTGCTTTGAACACCTCTCATGAATAGCGTACTAAAAATCCAGGGTTATGCCTGTGTTTATAATGAGACTGCTCCTGTAGTTGCAGAATCCTGTAACAGCTATTCAACTTTCACTCATAAAGATTGGTATCTAAAGGTGCACAATCCTGCAGAAGCTGAGATTCAACTTTTGTGAACACACTGTGCAGTGTTGCACAGGTGACTCAAAACATGCTCATTTCTCACTGTCAAAAGGTAACTAGCACACAAAGCACAAAAAGCTAAGGTTTTCTAGATACTTTATGTCCTTCCAAATTCTGTAAATGAAAATATTTCTCATTATGTCCCAAAACATCACAGATGGATACACAGCAAGATTTAGATAAATTCTTTGTCTGTTTAAACATGATGCTAGTGCATTGCTTGTATACTGCTGTGGCCTTTGACACTCACAATTAAATTGGAAAAAACTTGTTCGCATGGGATTTCAAGCAACTGCAAAACAGTCTTGCTTCACTGTCAGGATTAGCTTGTGTGAGGTACTGAAAGATTAGAAACTTTATTTTGCAAATCTTCAGGCGCAAGGGTTACTCTTCATTAAACACACACATTCCTTGGCCACTTTCGGTGCAGTTTTTCAGCAGTAAGTTCATGCAGTAAGTTCATGAAGTAATAAGCAAAAAAACCTACAAGTAGAAATCGCTCAGTCCCACATATGAGGGACAGCCATGTAAGCTGTAACAACTTAGGCTAGTGTAGCAATATTTTTTTCAACTAAGACCCTCATCTTACAACTTTTCTTTTTCATTTGAAGGGTATATTGATATTTATTAATTTCTTTGCTGCTCATTGCAAACTGTGTTTTCTATGCAAAAACTCTTGAGGTAGCAAAAAAATATGTCTGCTCTATGGTTAGGTCAAGTTCTAGCCTCATCAGCACACAGGATCTTATGGGAAAGAAGTTAGAAGTATTGAACTGTTCTTTGAAACTGATATATGCAAAAAAGGATCTATCAAAGAGAGATAGATCACTAGTCAGTGAATTTACACAATGTTTCAGTACAGATTTTTTTTTTCTTCCTTTTTTCAGTAAAGGAGTCCCTCAGGAATTTTGTATAAGGATCAGTGTCAGTAGGAAGAAGGCTAATGTTTGCCTTCAGTTCACAGTAAAGTCCAATTTTGGAAGAGTTAAAATGAAAATAGATAAATAACGATGAATGACATTCATTGTTTTAAAACATGAATGAAAACGATGCTTATGTTTATGGGCCTCTCCTCAGATTGTTGGACAAGCATTACAAGTAATTTTTGAATACGAAGTTAGAATATTACATTCCTCACCTCTCACCAATGGTTGGAGTCAACTGTAGCTGCTCTTTCACAACCCCATTCTGGGCTTACTGGTGAACTCTATTCAGCCTTATATCTCTGCTATAGGAATTATGAGCACACATGGAGAAGCATCTGTCCTGGGATGGTTTATGATGCTACCAAAAACCAAAAGGCTTAGCCTTCCTGAGGAAGCTAATGAAACAATTTTTGCTTCCAGAACACATACGTGATCTTTCTTTCAAAGAACAGACAGATCTCTAGTTATGCAGAAGACTCTTGTTTCTCTGCCAAAGCCATTTAGTAAACTTCAGCCTCAAGCTGCATGCGAAGGTTTGCCTCACTGTATTAAGTCCATTTATCTTGGATAAATTCCACTTCCACTGCCTCAAAAAAAAAAAAAGTTCATATGACTCAGCTAATAACTCAGATTCATTGTTGTAGATATCCTAAGTCCTTGCTCAGCATGGACAGCAATGGGTTCCAAAGAGTTAGAGTTGTCCAAACCAATGCAGTTGTTTTCACAATTTAAGAGGAAGCTACTACTTCTACTGCCAGCACTTCAAAAAAAAAAAAAACACACACCCAAACCATGGTAACGGTATAAATAGAGCGTGCATCACTGCTATCTGCTTTGCCATCCTTGGAACCATAAGAGGACAGAAAAGTTGTTCTGGCTCAGGGACTTTCATGAGTGTTTGTTACTCTTCACCATTTAAGAAGGCAGCTCAGACTGCACTGCTCTTCCAGGTTTTCCACAACAACAAAACAAAACAAAAAAGCTTCTGATCTTTTGGTCTCTCTTTTCTTTATAATATGTTAGACAGTCATTACAGATCAACAGCCTTTAAAACGTTACCTTGGAGGGACAGAGAAGGAGGTAGATCACTGTCATTACAAAATACATTTGAAAGACAGCAAACTAGACAATATGACTGCAATGTTTCTCAGCAGCAGTAAGTTGTGATACTGAAGTTATCCCATTATTACATTTAATAGTTAAGGAAAAACAGAGTGGATATTTACTCACACAATTTTATGAGAGGAACAACTGAAATGGCAGCAAGAAAAACACACTTTTTAGACAAACTGGTATTACAGCACGTTAGCGGGCCACAAAACTGTTAAAAAAAAATCTTTCGAGACATGAGAATGAAACCACATTTTAGCATGCTTTAAATAGCTAAACTGCTATTCAAAGCGTAACAGTTTTCAGCTACTGGCAAAGACAATTTCCTGGTTTGGAAATCAGAAAGCATTTAGCAATAAGTTAAAGCTAGCCTACATGTAAGTGGGCTAAATACTAGGCAAAGATTTTTCCCTTTTCACGTTTCAGATGATACTACAGTTTGTCACTTCTGCAGCTTAAATATTGCTGTGCAATGCCCCACTGAAGTTTCACATCTACTCTGCAAAACCACTGAAGTTTCACATCTACTCTGCAAAAGAGAACAAGAATAAACACCTTTCTTTTAGAATAATCACAAATGGTAAAGCCAGTAGTATTTGTTTGTCCTTTTAATTAAATGTTTTCTGTTTATCACGCAAGAACTGCAAGCAGAGTCTATGGATTCTTCTGAGAAATAAGAAACCTTATGGTTTCATGCAAGTTCAATACTGCTTCTCTTTCTCTCTCTCTCTCTCTCTTTTTTTTTATGATTATCATCAGCTGTTTTCCCAAGCCCAAGATAGGTTTCCAACTGTCTTCATCTGATTTTAACAACCTTAGGGGAAAAAAGTTTTACCTCATTACTTCTACCCAAAACAGCTTGGCTCCTGACTTGTGTCAGGTCAGGTAAGTCTTAGACCACAAGAAGTTGGATGCTTTTCTTTTGAGGCACTGGAAGTCAGGCTAATAGTAATCGTCAGGTTGTCCAAAGTTAAAGGGGCAAACAGCTCTCAGTGCCTTCCTATTTAAACACATGGCCAGTGAAGACATCTATTTTCCCTTTTTTTCCTGAAATGCATTAAGTACAGCTTGTAGTAACAGATTCCCCACACTGTTGCATTCATGCCTCTGTAGTTCTAAAGCACACTGTCCCATTTTACGTCTAGTTTCCTCAAGCTCACTAGAGGAGTTAACACTGGATCTCTCCACATTCAGATAATACACACACATCCCTTTTTATCTCATAATAATCTTCTTGTTTATATTCCTTCTGCCGCATTCCCAAGCTAAACCAAGATGAGCTCAGTTCTATGGCAAGGTTTTCACATACCTCTTCCCAGAGAGAGCAGCTGCTGCTGCAGCTGAACAAGACAATTGCAGCATGCTAGGTGTACTTTAGATTGAATATGTGGCTTGAAAGAGGAGAATGACCAGTTTCCTCATTTGTCTATTTTGAACACATTTAGAAAACCCCGCTGTCAGCATCTTGAGTAAAAACAAAAAAACAGGTCAAGTTTGACATCTTCAGACCATAGTAAAACCACTTAAATGTGTTAACTTGTTTAAATAAACATCCCCACCTCAAGTGACACAGTGGCCTGCAGTTTTCCTTGATCCATCCACAGAGCAAGAGTTGTTTTTACTGAGTCAGTAATCATGCATTGTCTTCCAGAGGAAATACTAGCCGGGTGCCCCTGCTTGTAATTTCATGATCCACTGCTCCCAAATCACGTTCCAGCGCTTCCTCTGAACTACTTTTTGTTCTCCTGCCGTCAAGGCTAGTGGTAGCTGTATGGGGGCCAGAAGAACCATTAGCAGTTATTGTTGTATCACCATATGTCACAGTAAGGTCACCATCATTCAGAATAAAATCAGAATCCTCTTCTCTAAGTTGTTCTTGATTCTGGAAAACAGAAGAAGGAAATCTGAGTACAGTGCACAACATTTGGTATTTGTCAAAAGGTAACTGAACCAAAAGATTTACCTGCATGTCAGTACAGAAGCAGCAAGAGTAAAGTTCTACCTTAAGAAATATGTTAATTCAGTGTTTGCAAGTCAGCTCACTGTTCTCGGTGCAACTTTTCTGTTGTGGGGAAATGAGAGGGAGTTGAATATAAGAACCTAGATTATGAGACAGGTAACTAGTGAACTAATACCACTGGATGTTTAATGGAAGTACAGAAGAGATGAGAAGCAAACACTGTTTTTTACATGACAATTTAAAAGACAGTAGAGGAAAAAAAAAGCAAGTACAGTCATTTATAATTTTATCATTCCAGATAAAGTCAAGTTGAATCACTAATTAGGCAAGTTCAGAAATAAAAGACTCATGCAAACTGATAAGAACTCATTAGGCCCAAATTATTTGCATTCAAAGTTTCCTCAAGAAATTATTGTCATAGATCAAAAAAATTTTTTTTTTTTTTTTTAATATCTACTCATTCTGTTTACCTGGTATTAAATTGAGAATTTCCAGAGCTAGTTCCTAGGATCACTCCTAAGCCATGAAAGTAAGAAAGATTTATAAGTAAGAAAGTAAGAAAACACTTGCTTCATAGTTTTTTAACTAGTTCTGATACCTGTTTACTTTTCCAAATCCTTTCAGAAAGTGGCTCACAAGCCTATGAATTTATTTTGGCAGAGATGGGATGAAATACATTATCAAGGACCAGAAATTGGTGAAGTGTAACAAAGCACTTGGTTGCTTTTTTGGAACAGCACAATACAATTGCAAGCCATTACACCAGGTTTCTCTGTTGTTTAATGGGGCCTCGGTAAAAGGCAAAATTGCTGAACTGGTCATAAAATGGGTCGTCTTCACATGCAAAGAAAATTTTGCCAATGGCATAAGCTTGCTTTCTAACAAATGAAAGCCAATATTTCCACGCAAATAGCTCCATGCTGCTTGGCAAGTGCTGAGATTTAAGTGTGTGTATCGATACTCTCCTTGGTAGGCTAGACTCTGATCAGACAATGCTCTCAAAATACATCGTTTGCTTCTGCTTTGGCAAAGGAAGGAGGACGCAATCTACATGTTATGTAGGATGCCTGTGATCAGCCTGGCCAGAGAGCCCTGCCTGTATTGCAGAAGAGAAGCTCAGAACACCTAAGACCGTAATTCTGAAATAAAATACTTGTCTTTTCCCAGGAAGTTTTATTTAGCCAGGCACCGAAATCTTCATCATGGTCAGGTTAATCAGAGTTTTCCCTCAGCTAAAGTGAAGCACCAACTGCCTCTAGATGATGCAGAATAGTAACTAGGGAGGGCTAGAAGAGGTGTCAGTAATTTATCAGAAACAAAAACAAATGGTGCAGTTCAGCGTCAGATGCAAGACAATTCAAATGAAGATGAAAAGCTGAAAAATTAAGATAGGTACAAAGCAGACAGTTTGTGACTGTAGATTGGTTACGCTTTAACTGAGAAGCAATATCACAAATTGCCCATCGTGATGTTCTCTGCTCTTGGAGCAGCACCAAGGAGGGTCAGGTGGAGGTGACAGTGCACTTCTCTTGGAGGCGCTGCAGTGCCAGGACAACGTGTGGAGCGGCTGCAGCATCCAGGAGCCTAAAGCATCTCCTGGCTCTACATTGCCATGTAACAGCAATTCCTTACAGTAAGAATCTATCAGATATAAAATTGGTAAGAATAAACACTATACTCGAGTTTCTCCAAAAGGCTGACAAGCAATGGCAACCACGATACTGAGCGTAGAGGGCCACAGGCCTGGTACCATACAGCAATTCCTCACTCAGTCTCCTCTGTTTTGTCCCAGGCTACACTTACACGCGCGTAAATGTGATAAGCTCCAGATAAAAAACAATGAGCTTTCTCTTAGCATGGTGAACAAGCACTGCCTTGTATGAGCCAAGCTCCTCTTATTTATTCCACTTCTGCATAACGCGGTAAGCGGCAGGCAATTCATTTCATATTTTTCCCCAGATATGCATTAACAATCCCATGTAGTATATGGATTAGACGGTATGTTGACAAGCAAAGAGGATGCATGAATAAACCTCCTGGGCTTCGTGCAGCATGAACAATTCTTTTAAGACAGACAGGAAATGTATCCAAGCAGATCCCTAGTGACTTGATTTTTTTCCAAGAATAACCCTAAACTGGCCTCTACAATCTCCTACAATTCTGTAGGAGCAACAACATCAATTCACTTAAGAAATACAGGTCTGAACTTCACTATTTAAACTGACAAACTAGAATGGGTAAGTACCTACATTCAAAACCCTACCACAGACCGAACCGTGTTTTAACTTGCTCACCATTGCCCATCCACCCTGATGGCCTTCACAGCAGCCTGTCAAATTTTGGGGTAAAATTTGGTAGACATGTCATGCTCCTAAGAACGCATGCTGAAAGATGTTAAAACTGTTAAGAGTTCATTTGGAATTACTGGTTAAAGCCAAACAGTCTTTAAGACTTCTGTCTTTAAGACAGCCACTTCTTAAGATAGCACAGACATCACGTGTGACAAAACTTGCACCAGAAAGACTTGTGGCTCCAAAATAAAAGCTCCAGGTAGTAGTATGCATGCAAGAATGTGTTACAACTTAAATCTGGTGCTCTGCTTTATATTTCTCAGCCAAGTGTAAATACAGCAAGGAAAATGCAAACAGTTTTTTAAAGCTAGAGCAACTAAGAAAAGGAGAGGGAAGCATAATGAACAGCTTTCTTACCAATTTTGAGAGTTACGCCCTTCATGACTTAGATGGACTGCAAACAGACATTTCTTTCTTGTGTTTGCATACTTGGAAAAATAATTCCTTTCCCTTTACCTTTATACCAAGCGTCACATTGTGTATAGTGTCAAGGCTAAACTGTTTGTAAAGAGGGGAGGGAGGCAGGAAGGGAGAGGAGAAGAGATACAGGAAACACAACTGTGAACAAAAAAAAGACAAAAAGACAAATCCAAAAAAAAAAAAAGAACCACACCAAAAGAAAGTGTTCCATCAGGAAGAGCAGGTGATAACACATATGCTTTTTCCAAACAGGAAAAGTTGTTGGTGGAATGCAGAATTACTACAAGTTTCAAAGCACATGTCAAAACGGCAAAAAAAATTACCTACGTTAATTTGGGATAAATTAGAAAGCCCTGTCAAACGCTCAGGTACTGAAGGCAGTTCTGGGAAAGAAAATAGGAGTAATGGTTTTAAAATAATCATTTTAAACTCTGCAGCTACAGCAGCCTTTCATATTTTTTAGTTCCAGCTTGGATTCCATTTGGGTGGGATTTTCAGAAACACTTCACAGTGCTCCCAGGGGCACAGTGTTAAAGCAGTGGGAAAACCTCAGCAAGAAAGAAGTGAAAACTCAGGGGTAAAAAGTAACCACTGTACCTCACCCATGTATGCTGACTCAGAACCTTACATGTATACCATGTCACCATGTGAATTTAAGTTTAGAGGACTATCTCATACTCAGGAGTTGGTTGTAGGTGGATTTTTATAAAAGAACTGTTTGACTTTCAAACCTTAAAACACCCTTTCACATCTAATTAAAAAAAGGCAGTCCTTCACAAAGAAGTGAAAATGAATTCCAAGACGACTGCAATAAAGCCAGAGAAAACAACAAAATAGCTGAAAACAACACACAAATACATGGCCAGTAAAGCTATATACCAATATGCTTTCTTTTCCTACAGCACGTAGATGCCATAACCACTCAGACATGTGTCTGAATGAGATTCACACGATTTACTTCTTCCTTTTGAAGCACATTTTCCTGCTATGTTACATTCTGCTGAGTCTTTACTTTTTTTTTTTTTT